CACCAGCAAGTAAATGGAATATTCTTTCTTTTTTTCGACAGGAGAGCAATATACGCAGTCTATCCGTATATACGTAGTGCACAGTTATCACGCCTGAAATGTTTAGCTTGGGATCCAACCTAGATGATAAAACAGCGTTCTGGACTCGGAAGGAAACGAATCGGTGGCTGCTGACAGCTGGTTAGAGGGAGGAAGGCCGAAAAAAAAAGATAAACACTGAAAACGAAGAGGCCGGTTGGCTCAGCCGTTTCCTGGTCTGTCGCCCCCTGCTGGAGGGGGGTGTGGCCTGAGGTCTCACAGACCGGCCTGCGCGAACAGGGGGCTCAGGAAAAGAGGAGGGGGAGCAGGAACAGCCGGCGAGCGTCAGCACACCGACAGCAGGCGGCCCTCCGTCGGGAGCCTCCGCGGCAGAGAATCCGACGGCAGCAGCCAGTATCTCCGAGGGCGTCGCCCCCCTCCCGGGCAGCAGGGACGACACCGGCCAAGGGAGGCCGTGGTCTGCGAGAGCATGCATTTAAAAAAAATCTGTTTGAAGAAGAAGGTAATGTGTCCCCCTGTGCGTTCCCCCTGAGGCGTCCCCGTGCCTATTTCAGCACCAGCGTGGCCTCCGACCCATCCTTCTTCTTCAAGTACAGTCCGTGCGTGAGGTGATGCTCCCGTCGCAGGTACGCGTAGAAATAGTCTGACACCAGGAGGATCTGGAGGGGACAGGAAAGAAACATCTTTTTGGTTCCATCTACCTCATGACGCGCAGCATGCCTCATTCGCACACAATCTGCTGTCGGCTTACTGCCCTGGCTGCACTCTCTACTCAGCTGATGCTGTCTGATGCAGGTGGGTCTCCTGCCGGTGTACCAGAGCCTTGTGTTCTGTGTTCTGGATGTGCTGCCTTGATCTTGAAGCATCAGGACTTTGCCTGCTTTCATGCTTTTGCAGCATGCTCTGTACCTTGGCTTTTTGAGCCCCGTATACTCTTTTCATGCACTGCTTCTTTATATATTGGGTTAGGAAGCCCGTCCTGGAACATACTATCATACTATGGTGGTTGGATTCAACAACTACATGCTCCCTGTGTTTAAACTGACGGCTTTGCATAAACTAAAGTGACAAGGAAAGAGACAAGAACACAGGGAAAGCGGTCATCTGCTCGCTCTGAACCCCGGCAAGATATGCTACATTAATAAGGAACATTAATAAGAAGCGTTGTGTCTCTTTTCAGCATGGAATAAACCTTTACCTTTTCCTTTGCAGCCTACGCATGCTGACACAGCTACTTGAAATGTTGCATTAATGTGCTCTTGGATCTGGCGGAGAACTAAAAACCTACCTTGCGCACAACACCATTAATCATTCATAACCTAGAGGTGAAAGCTACAGGTGCATTTTCCCTCGGATTAATGTGCAATTCCACAATGTGGTCCACAACGCTCTGACAGCTCGACAAGACAACCGGGTCAAAACAAGTGGGAAAGGCGACACCTGATGAAGATGGGTACTCAGTGTAATTTGCCCTGTTGCCAACACCTACACCTGTCCAGGTGGGTGTAGAATGACACCCCTTCACCGAGTGGAGCAATCTGACCTTCGCTCCTGCTGCTTTTCAGGTGCCATGAATTAATGAAGAGCAGGCCTGGGCTGGAGTCGCACCTCTCTCGGCTGGACGCAAGGCACAAGACCAGCCCCCCCGTTTGTCTGCCACTCGTCTCTAATTCAATACTCCAGCAGGAAGAGGTCGCCAGATCCGAATACCTCCTTCCCAAAAGCCTGTCAGAACATCTGACCCCAGGAATCATTCTCACACTCATTAATACTGAAGGCAAACGAGCTCAGGGTCAGATATCCACTCAGCCCTGCACCTCCTCTTCAATAATTCAGTCCTGGAGCCCAGGCAGGCTGCTGAAGTCCCGATCCTGTTTGCCTGTACAGGGACTGGTGAACACGACAGATCCTCCTCGGCAGCCAGTGCTCACACGCAGTCTAACAGCGCAGCAATGGGACTGCTCGGCTGTTCTCTGTAACTGACCACGAATTCCTGCAAGTTAAGCTAAGATGCTGTGGAAATGTGTACTTCACATAGAGCGACATTCCTGTTTGAGCGTTTGGGGTTATGGTTCCATTCTGAACACATTTAGGGATGGAGAGGCCTAACCACATAATATGCTAATCCACTGGGTGCAGAAATAAGAAAACTGCTGGATTCTTTTGAGGATAGATCTAAATTCTCCACAGTAGCATTGAGAATTTGCCAGTAAATATGACAAAAGCGCAACATAGCCTTAAATGGAATTCCAAATCCTACTCCTGGACAGCGGGACCTCTTTGGGAAAACGAACAGGGAGCAGTGGTGATCCCTGGGTGTACACACCTGACCGACGTTGAAGACCAGAGTGATGGCGTAGTAGAAGTTGGAGTTGGCGCTGCCCGCGAAGATCCAGAGGTGCCACAGCACTGGGAACAGCATGGAGCAGATCAGCAGCATGCAGGACACCAGGAAGATGTTCCGCAGGACTGAGGGAGAAACACGCGCTGTCAGGGACACACGGTAACACCGGCAGCCAAACTGCCCTCTGACAGCAGAATTACACACAGCAGACACACACGAGTCACAGCCACTGATGCTTCTCTCCATGAAGAAAAAACGGAAAACCGCTGACATCTAACTCCCCCCTCTCCCCAAGACAGACAGCCAGACAGCAAGCTGTGCACTGGCTCGGGGCCGGGCTGAGCACAGCAGGCAGGAGACTCACATCTGTACAGGTGGCTCCAGGCAGGCAGGAAGGCCATGTAGAGGGCGATGTCCCCCACCGTCGGGTAGGACTTGAAGATGGAGATGATGGCGATCTGCATGAACATCAGGAAGACAGGGTGCTCCCTGGGACACACAGGACAGCACAGCAGTGTGAGGCAGGAGGAAAATACCTCCGCGTCTGAGCAGCAGAAACTCAACTACCCACAGCACACAATCATAAATCCTCTCCCCCTCTTTGGAAACTACTGATTTTCTACCCTTAAACTGTCAAACACCAAGGGATCGACACCCCGAGCTGCTTGCAGGACAGTCTGCTAGGGTTGCTGACTCATAGGAGTAAAACCAGAACAGGTGAAATCGTTCCCTGTGTCTCAGACACATCAACAAAACAGAGGGAAACTAGAAATGGGCTTTTCCCGTTTTTAGAAAGACAACAACGGGTAAAGGTTTCAGGGCGGCGACTCACTTGAGCTTGATGGAGAGGGGGATGATGTAGAAAAAGACGTTGATCTGGAAGACGCAGAGGAAGAAGAGCCTGAAGTGCTCGAACATCTCGGCGAAGAAGTACCAGAACAGGCCGATGTTGGGGGTCAGGTCAGGCACCGTCAGGCTGGGCGGAGAGGTGGAGATATCAGAAACAGACGGGATTCTGTCACATACTGCAGGACCACACAAAGTCAGTGATATCACCTTCTCGTGCTTTAGAAACAGGGTCTTACTGCAGCAATTTGCCAACGCAGTTGTTAATCTTTTAAATGACTCGACTAACTTGTTTGTCATTACAACTCCTCAGAACTGCCTGTAAAACTTTCAAAGTTTAGGAAGCGCTGCTTTAAATCTCATGATGCACTACAAGAAGATCAGAGCCCCTAGAATACTTAGCTAAACCTACCATGCAGACACGGGTTAAGTTTTGCCAAACTCCACCTTTAAGCTCCTGGCAGGGTGCAGGATGCTTGGGAGGGGTTGGAGACAGAAGGACGCAGCTTTGTCAGCTGTGGGGACAGACAGACTGACGGAGTGGGAAGGGAGGCAGGGGGCAAGGAGGAGGCAGAGGAGCAGAGCAGGACGCCCAGAGCGGAAGGGGGAGGTGGGATCTTACTCACATGAAGCCGTACACGGAGGGAATGAAGTCCCATGAGCTGAGCAGGAAAAAGGAGAGACAAACGATGATGGCCAGGCTGCCCAGGAACATCACGCCATACTGGACTGCGAGGATCCAGAAACTGGGGCTGCGCAGACTCACGGGGATATACAGCCTCTGGGGGGACAGGAGGGGGAGAGATGTCAGCTCCCACTGCAACTGAACCTCAGCCCTTTACAGTCAACAGGGAACACGCCTCCTACAGCCTGGTCAGTAAGCTGGAAGCACAGCAGCTCTGGGATTGGTTCCCCTGAGGGTATGAGGAAGGTCTCTGCATCCTCAGCTCCTGATTCCGTTTCCCACTGTATTCCCAGGAATGCTGTCGGGTCTCGGTCAGGTGAAGCGTCACAGTTGTGCCCAGGGCTGTGCCAGACGTGAGTCTAAAACCTCAAAGATGCAGTCAAGGACAGCAAAGTAGGTGCAGCGCCAGACCTCCTGTTCCGTCTTTCCTTTCTGTGGATTCCCTTGACCTGTGGCTGGGTCGGGATTTTAGGTTCTACACGACCGGATGTGCATTTTGGAATTGGGAACACTGGACTAGCTCACAATGAGCAATCCTGTCCACTAGGCAACAGATCTGAAACCAGCAGGAAGTTTGGAGGCTTACCTGCACGAGGAAGAGCAGCGCTGGGGCGAACAGCGTTAAAGGGTAGATGGACTGGTATGTTGCCAATGCCAGAAATATGGCACTGAGGAAGGCACTTCCTGCACAGACACCAAACAACAGTAATATAACAGAGGCTTTCCCATTTTTTTCATGACAAGTATTCTTGGCGAAGCACATTTATTTTTTAATAACAAAATGTTCAGGATCCTAGTGCTGAAAGACCACAACACTCGTGAGCTTGTCCAGTGCTCTGCTTTCAGTCTTCTTTCAAGACGGTGTCTTAAACAAAGCTGTTGCTGCCCTGAAAGGACCTGAAAGAAGAGTCCGATTCTGACCCCCTGTGCCCGGAGACCTCATCCCCGTCCCCGGGGCTGCCCAGCCGGCCTGGAGAGCTGTACCTTTTATCGTACACAGGATGAAGAGAGCAATGACAGCATTGTTGAGCCCGCAGGTCGACTTGGCCACACAGGACAGGACGGTGAAGGGATTCAGCAAATAACTGGGAGAAGGAGACGGAGAGGAAAAGTGAGAGAGAACGATGAATCAATCCGCGCTCAAGTGGCTTTTTCCGGTCTGTAAACAGGAATGGCCCTGGCTGTGCTGCCCGTCGAACTTACTTATTGTGAGGTGGGCAGTCAGCCTGCTGCTGAAGGCCCAGAGGTTACGTGCAGCACGGCTCCACACACTCCTGCCAAGATCTGTGTTTGAGGCAGGCAGCTCTGTCACTCTGACAGGACAAGTCCAAGCTACTTAATTTTTCATGAATCAGGCTTCAGTCACTCACACAGAAGGCAAGCCGTGCAGCACTTACAATAAAGCCACTTTGAGAGGGATATAGTACATCTCTTTCGGTGTTCTGAACAGCTCCACAACATCATGGGGATAACGGTCAGCCTCCAAGGCATATTTCTGTTTCCTGAACTGGCACAGAAAGATAAATTATAACACACACAACAACACCTCTGTAGCTAATTTTAATTATTAACATCTAACTGCTAATTGTTTTCTGTTGAGATAGTGTTTCTGAAGCTCAATTTAGTTGACTCACTTTCAAATCACAACAGCAAGGAAAGTTAAAAAATCTTTAAGGATATTTAGCAAAACAAAGTCTTTATGGCACAATAATTAAACCCATGCTATAGTTTTAGGCACGCTGTCTGTCTCCAGCAAATCTGTGTGGTCTCTCTGGGCCACAGTTAGTGTATCTCAGGGTGATCTAATCCTGTCACAATGCCTTGTGAAAGCAAACAGCAAACAGCAGTGTTTATCAGGAGATGATACTGGTGTGAGAGGTCTTCTTCGTCCTGGAGAAGCTGTCTTACCATGATCTTATTGTAGTCCCGCACAGCCAAATACAGTGCTACCGCAGTGATCCCATCTGCTATCTGTGAAGAGAAGCCCCAGGACAGTTCTTCCACTCAAAACCTGGGAAGCTGATTTCCCCAGTTAGTGCATGTCATGTTTCAAGAAGCACAAAGAAACCCAAGCTGCACTGCTTTGATCTTTCGCTTAACACCTTTGCAACCCAAAACATAAGTCGCCTCCGCTGTCCGCTGGGATACGAAACAGCGGAGACGAGACTGTCTGAGCTTGTTTCCTAGAGAGGAAATCGCTTCGACAGCACATCACAATGATTACTCACCATGAAGACGAACTCGGAATAATCAATAACGAAATGAAAGAAGTAAATCACGAGAGGTGTCTGGAAAGGACAAGGAGGAGAAAATCAGCTGCTTGTTAGTGCGAGTTCAACAGAGCAAACAGACTTAATTCTTAAACTCATTGTTATTCGATTCGCATCAGCTGGCTTTCGCTCAGGGCTGCGACACTCATTACTCTATTTTTACATCCTTAACTACAGCCGTCTGAAGACAAGAGGCAGGATAAATGAGTAAAATAACACTTAACAGAGAAAATGCAAGGATTAGATTCCCACTGAACAGTAAGCAGTCTTTAAGTAGTAACTGGATTCATTTCAGACTTTCTCAACTGCAGCCCCAGTGCGGTGGGAGGGCAGTCTTATCAGCATGATGAATTCCAGCACGCTTCTCTCCCCTGGGAGGGACTCACTTCGTGGAACACGTCCCCGGAGTAGGGAGACACTCCCAGGTCCAGCAGCGCCAGGCCCTCCACTACTGCAAGGAACCGACAGGAGACACAGGGGTGAGCAGGGGAGCAGCAGGTCCTGCTCTTTGACAGGATACTGCTGGCATGGTCACTGTGTGATGTCACTGTGTGTGGAGTGGATCACGAGCTGTATCGGGGACACGCTGTGTCAGAGCCCTGCGATGGCAGGGGTACTAGGAGCTCCTCGGTGGCCCTCGACTTCTCCTGGGTTAGTGTCAGGACTCACAGGGCTCAACCCCATCCAGCACACACACGTGTTTCACTAGACATTAACCCCCTCGGCCTTGTCATCTCGCAGGCTAACTCCCCAGCAGCATGAGGAAATCCCTTCTTCACCTGAAGTCTCTTCCACCCTGCTTCCTACAAAACGCTTAACAGGCAATTACTACATATTAAAAATATTTTTTTACAATTTAAGGTTTTCCCTTTAGAAATTACTTTAATAAAAAAGTCAGTACGCTACTCTCTCTTTGAGCATTTCAATGCTCACATTTAAATTGACATTCGTTCACAACTATCGCTAACTCACGACATTTTAATTCAAAGACATTAAAAGCCTGGCTGCAAACAGAAGGGTTTCGAGGGCTCGTCACAAAGGAACAGTACAATGCAGGTCAGTAATGCTCGGCTCCGGACAGGGGACAGGACTGTTGTAGACCAGCAGTCAGGAAAGGGCTGCGAGTTCCGAGTGACTGCTCACAACGATGACAACAAAGAAAACAACGGTTCGTGTAGTTTGATGCAATATTTACCTCGTTTCCATGCGTTTAAAGGGGACACCACTTCCACTCTCTCCGCTATCAGGTCAGCAAAACTCGACCTGAACAATGCAGCCCTGATTGTGACAGCCACAATCAAGCCCAGCGCTAAGGGAGCCGCCATCTTTGCCGAGAGGAAGTACCTCTCTCCTCCTGTCTTCGCGGGGGGTCACGGGATTTGTAGTCATGTCCTGCAGGAAGCTGCTTGGGAGCCTACATGAAGGGTACAGGTAAAGAACACCAAATCCCATAATCCAACGTAAATCATTAAATTTCTCTTTTCTGATTCGGTTGACAAAATATAGAGGCGGGATTATCGGAGTGTGCAGAAATAAGCACCGATTTAATTTTAAGAAAACCACACCAGGAACTGGGAAGTTCATTTATCAGAAACTATTTTTTTTTAAGTTTGGGATTTCTGTAAATCCTGAAGAATGCCGTCGTAGAACTCAGGAACCGTGAGGCAGGTATTCAGTTTTGTTTTAAATGTGAAACTTTGCGTTCTCAGTGACACGTCCAAGGTGAAATAGAGCGACTTACACTTACAGACACGAATAATAAAACTGCGCCAACCTTTCGTTCGAGCTGCAAGTAGAGAAATATACGCACTTCATATAAAATGTACGGCGTTCCTACGATAACAATATTCGGATGCTATTAAAAGTGGATATACATAAGATAACACAATTATCAGCCGTTTCACTGTGCAAAGGTATATTAAAGCCGTCTCGAACGTCGTGGAATTGGTGTTTTCACTTCGTGCGTTATGTCGTTAATGTCCATTTAAAACGGAGACTAATCCGTTAATACCAGGAATTCTGCGCCGGTGCCCCAGTGTGGTGGGGAGCTGTGGGGGCGCTGTCGTGTCAGACAGGGGAGACGCACTCCTAACACTGCAACACGAATATAATAATCCTCGCACGTCTATAGCGCTCTTCTGGACTCTCCACTCAAAGCGCTTTACAGGTAATGAACTGAACTTGAACTTGAACTTTATTGCCATATGTAACCGGTACTGGTTCAATGGAATTCTTACTTACAGAAAGTCTCTCGATTGTAGAACAAGTGTAAAAAACAAGACAAAGTGCAAACAGTGCATCAAGACAATGTACAAACAAACAATAGACAATGTGCAAGTAAACATGTAGACAGTTTGAATGTATGGGGATCCCCTCCACCCCCACCAGTGTGCAGCCCCACCTGGATGAATATGGCCAGGACGCCCGGGTGATTGAACCCCAGGGACCCCATCTGGGGGGTGATGATGTATCAGTGCACGATTCGAACTGGGGGAGAGTGGAGTAAATATTAGGAGAAACGCAAAAAAAACCCCATCTACTGTCACTCCTGTGGTCGTATTTTTAAAAGCCTCCTTTCCAGAATATTCGCGCTGTGATCAGAAGTAAAGGATGCGCATTACCGCAGTGCGCCAGCAGGTGGCGCTGTGGCCGCAGTGCGGAGAGCGCCTACGAGGGCTCGGGGTTTCAGCTGAGAACACGTGTCCCAGGCTGGAAGAGCGGAGCCCGAAGTCTCCCTGAGTCATTTTATTGCTTGGCTGCGGTTTCTAATAATCCTGCAATGGAATTGGCAGCACGTGTCTATTTCAGTCGCCAGTTGCTCTTAACAAACCTCACCTTTAATTCCAGGTGATTTGTATCACCTCAGGTGATATAGGAAATATAGAGATATAGGAGAGTCACCATGTCGTCCACTGGTGCAGTGCAGCTGTCGCTTGGTTTAGCAATCCTGCCCCAGAGAGAAGAGCACCACTAACTGGGCCACCTTACAGACCCTGAAGGTCTCCCGTCCCGGTATTGACCCAGCCCAGCCTTGCTGAGCAGCGCTGCAGCCTGTCGCTTAATCTCATCTGCGAAGGTCTGCCTGAATAAGCGCTGATCTGCCAGCCTAGCCAGCACAGAGCAGGTCAAACTCACTGAAGAGGCCAAAGGAACCTGGAGCAAAGAGCAAAGATGAATTCATGGCTTGCTTCTAGTCAATGGCAACCTGACACAGGGACACAGGAGAATATTTATTTGAACCCTACCCGTGTCTTTAGTTTCAGGGACATCCAGGCGGATCAAGTTAAGATTTAACACCTCTATTCCAGCGCCTGCTGGATATCAGACTTCACGTTTCTAGGTCTTGTGCTGCAGTTCAGGTTTGGGGAATAGACTTATTTCTTCCCGTCTGTTTTTTTAAAAAGGCACAGGTGACTTAAGGACTTACTGTGATCCTTCTCAGCTTTATTCACAGGGCTTCTGCTCGCGCAACCAAATTAAAACTTTAAGTTAATTAACGAGTTGAGTAAGTACAGGAGATCAGCTTCAGCTGAATCAATTATCTGTTGGCAGGAGCGAGGGTCCCTCTGGTTTCTCCAGAGGAGAGACGTGCCCAGCTCCTCCCGGCTTAAATCTGTGGAAACAGGCGGGCCTGAGGTAGCTGCTACCATCGGTCAGCACATGCCGAACCCTCTTGATTTCACCCTGCTGTGAGTGTGAGAGTGCTAAGGTCACTGAGGCCCCTGTGCCCGTGGTCGTACCTGGGCTTGCTGCAAGACCGCAGATCGCTTCCCAGTCCCGATCCATTCTGAAGCGGGTGTCAGGAAAGCAGATTCTTGCTCTGCTCAGATTTATACACAGCAGCTGCAGCTGGACGTATCTGCGTCTTGTCTCTTAAATTACCTGCCCGGTTCATTCCAGCAGCTTGCCCGCCGCCGGCAACAGCCAGTGAAATTATGGAGCAGCCTGGTTTCAGTACACAGTCCCAGCCCTTTAGGTTTTCACCCTCAGTTATTTCCAGTGTTTTATGGAGGCGCTCCACAGCGGTTTCGGAGAGTGTCATCTCTAAATTCAGGGGCCGGCCGGGCAGTGGGGAGAAAAAGAAAACTTCCTTTTGATTGGAATGGAAAGAACATAACTTTCCAGAAGTGTCGAAGATTTAATCAACGATCCCTAGGACTGAAAATGAAAAGAAACTTAATAACATTATTTTCAAAAAGAATTGGGAGGCTAATTCAGATTTTCTGGGGTTAGATGAAATTCAGAAACAAAAGTGAATAAATGTGAATAAATTATACATTTCGAAGAAGCAATTCTTTTTTCAATTAACATTGCTTAAAATAGATTTAAGAAGAGACCTGACTAATTTGAAAAAACATGTTTCTAAAAATCAGTTCCAAACCACGTGCCTGTATTTTAATTTTCTGCAGTGAAAGATAAGGTATTTTAAAAACTGCTCATAAAACTGGGAAGTTGGCTTCTTTTTATGACCGAGTTAGTTGAGAATTGTGTTTTGACACTGCAGTCTCAGCCTGGCGTCTTTAAGCGGGTTAGGCCTTTGGGTGGGTCCTCCTGCAGACACCTGCTCAGGTGAGCAGAGGCGGAGCAGGGGGTTGCTGTGATGTCTGGGAGTTGAAGGCAGCTTTGAGCCCACGATGCTCAGCGCAGGTGTCTGGGCTTCGGGTTTGGGAAAGCAAAACACAGGTAGCAGTCAGACACCTGGGGGTGGGCTGTGAAACAAGCCTTTACCCACAGAGCTCAACGGCACGTAGTTGGTTATTTTATTTCTCCTGAAAGTGGTGTTCTGGAGTGAAGGACCCGGGTGATCGTTTATCCCCACAGCAGAACCTTATAGCAGTTATTGCCTCTTTAGTTTATGAGGCAAACCTGTTTTCCACTTAGCTTGTCTGGTATAACGCAGCATGGTTTAATCTGCATAATAGCATTATGTTTCCTTCAAGTGGCGTAGAGCTCAATTTCCTTGCAGGATAAGCATGAAAGGCTAAAAATGTCATAAGCTTGGCTCCGATGGCCTCAGAGAGCTGCTGTGCTCAATGCTCTGGGCTGTCGGCGCCGTGGAGACGCACTTCAAAGAGCCCCCTGCCTGCTCCTCATACACAGGGACTGGCTTGTGCGCCGAAGGCCCGACTTCAGGTCAGACCTCACAAGGCCCTGCGCACCAGGTGAAGGCCACAGTCTGCACGGACAGCAGGTACTTGGACAGCCCTCTGGCTTCCGCACACCTACAGAGACGCGCTGCCTGGGTCAGTTGTGTTTGCATGTGCCCTGTGGTAGACTGGCACCCCACTGGGGTCTACTCCTGCCTTGCCCTCTGTATTACCAGGATGGCTCCCAAGCTTATGTTCACAAGCTTATGTTCTGATGATGGGGGATTGATGGAGAAGGAGCTTGGCAGTAATGCCATGCCTGTCTGATCAGCTGGCAGTCCTTTCACTTGATGCCCCCCGACCAATGCCTCCCAGTCTGCTCGCTAGCGGACATGGTTACAGGGTTCCCACTGCTGACGCCTGCTCCCCTGGAGGCTCCCGGGCCACAGTGAGTGGACACGGCCGAGTGGACGGTCAGGCAGCATCGACCCCGGTGCTCCACGCCCCCCATTCATGACGCTGGACTCCGGAGCCCATGGAATCACATCTGGGATTTTCATAGTTCAGCTTTTCCCCGGTTGATTTGGGGGGATAATTTGCAGCGTGGAGCCCGGAATGAGTACAGGTGTGGTGCTGAGGGAGGTACAGCCCAGAGCCCTGCGCTGTCCCGTGCTGTGAAAGTGACTTAAGCCTGCCTGGTGAGCGCGACAGTCCTAATTAGATAATGGCCTTACCCATCAGCGACTGAGCAGTGTGCTGGGAGGCCGTGTGTGCACAGCACCTGTCTTAGCGATCCTTTAATTAACAATGATGGGGCTTAAGACACAAGGAGGTGCAAAGAAGACGCCCTCAGAGGGGATTGTGGAGCAGGATTTCCTGGCGAGGCTTAAGAGCAGGCAGCGCTGCTACTGAGCGTTACTCGGGGGCTGCAGCGAGGGGCTCGGTCGCCGCCGAGCGTCTTCGGGCCACGGCCCCGGTGCGAGTGAGCGCTCAGTCCCTCGGCTCGTCGCTGCTGTCCTGGCGGGGCCGCCGGCCCCAGGTGCGAGTGAAAGCAGGGTGGATGGGGGATTAGAGCCGGCAGGGAGATAAGGCAGCGTGTCGGCCTGGAGTCCTGGCCAGCGAACCCGGAGCCCTCAGGCCTCAGCTCCTCTGTGTGCCTCCTCCTGCCCCGGAATAACCTCTCAGAGCCACCCTCCCCTTTGCCTCCCTGCGCCAGGCTGGGAGGGAGAGGAGACGCCCGAAACATGCTGCAAGTCCCCGGTCCGACTGTGCTCTCTGCTGCCCCCCAGAGGCGGGACATTTTACCTGCCGCAGTCAGGATCCCAGAGTCCAGGAGAAACTGAAAACCCACCCCTCAGGATATTCCTGACCCCAGGGCCCTGTGACTGACCCAGGTTACTGCTTCCTGTCTGTCCAGCAGCACTGGAGCGTACTGCTTTCTGTTATCGCCACCCTCTGCAGTTTGACCGGATGTGGTTGTGATTAAAGGTTCTGCCAGATGAATTACTGTCATGCGAATATGAACAAGGAGACTGAGACCAGGGTAATGATGTACAGTGAGGGATGATATTTAAGAGCTTC